GCCGGGTAACGGCACGTCCGGCGGCGTCACGCGTGGGCAGGCTCCGCGCAACCGTGACAGCTGGATACGGGGAGGGCAGAGCGCTGCTCCCCGGTGAGCCCGCACCGTGGTAATCGAGGAGACGCAGAGGACGTTTGCGGTCTTGAAGGCCCAGTCCAGCGCTGAACGTGAGCTGAGCGAGCGCCGAGAACCGTACCGCGGTCAGACGTTACTCACGGAACAGGACGGCAGCAAATGCAACCTATTTAAACTGCCCCCGCTAATTCTGGCCCGCTACTAATTAATAATAAACTCATCAGTCAAAGCAACTGCTGTTTAGTTTCCCTTTTTTTTTTTCAGGCTGCACAGCAGCTAGCCGCTTAGAGGAATGTTAACCAACACCAGGATAGCGACGGTGAAAACGCATCGTCACGGGCATGTCAGATGGCGGTGATTTAAAAGAGAGAAAATGCGACAGTTTTGGTGGTCGTAATGTTTCATTTGGGCAAGGTAAAAATTAGGAGGGGTGCAAAAGGCTTGGGTACATGCGGAACAGATGGAATTATCCCCAGGATTCACAAAACAGAATACACTTGCGAAAATACTGCCCATTCGATTGTGGGTTTGGGGTTTTTTTTTTTATTCCCTCTTAAAACATTTTCTAATAGAAAAGGATTGTATACAAGAATACTCCTGTACAGAAATCCCTTGTATCTACCAAGCATAGGAATGTCAATCACCTTCTGCATCTGTCAAAAATTGTCACTTGGGAAAAAGTGGCAGAAAAATTTAAAGTAATACTGGAAACGAAATGTTTACTGTTCTTGGAGGATTATTCTTTGATCACAGGTAAGACAGACAAATCTTTATATAAAAGTGTCATTAAAAATATCACAATATTGGTCTAGTGGAGGGTGTCCCTGCCCATGGCAGGGGCTCGGAACTGGATGATCTTTACAGTCCCTTCCAACCCATTCTGTGATTCTACGGAAAATTCCTACAACACTGCAATTTTTATTTCACTCAATATAGGATTCTGCAATGTCGTTATAACTACGTAACATCTGCAACTAGACTTACCTGTGATGTAACATTAAAAACCTGTCTACATGGTTGGTTTTGCTTTAGTTTTGAGGCAGACCTCAGATCACTCTTCCTGAAGTCCAAAGTGGTGGGAGGCCAAAGCGCTTTGATCTGAAAGTGCTGTGTGCTGCGCAGGGTTTGAGCGCACCGCCTTCAGATCAGAGCTAGCCCATATCCACATACCTTGGAGCACTGGTAAAGCCGGAAGACGTCTACCCATCAAAAAAAAATAATTAGTCAGATACACGACGTCCTTCAGAAACGCACAGCAGTCATCCACTCCGATTTTCACCGCTAAATCAAGGTAAAGTATATTCCTTATGAGAGTTACTACTTAAAGTGCTCTGTTGGCTATCTGCTGTTCTCTTGATCTGCTTGTAAGCAGTTGTCCGAGTAGCAGCGTTAACCCAGCCAAAGACCGAGTGTTAGCTCCTCAAAGCAAAACAAGAGCTCTGCATGCCCGCTTTGTGCGGGCAGAGCAAAACATGTACCTACCATTCGCAATGCAGTTTTTGAACAATCTCTTATTCCTTCTATCAAATAAAATAATCACAACCTGTATTATGTTCTCTAGCTACTGACGAGGTGGATTTAAGTGCCATCTGCACAGTTGGAATTATTAACTAAAGCTCATAAAAAAATAAGAAAAGGGAGAGGAAATAAAATAGCACAAGGGAGTACACATCAAATACTTCATTGTTAAGCATCTGTATGCTGCAATTACTAAGACGGAGCAGCAACACAAGCCTTTGCCATTGACAGTATGTAATTTCAGAAAAATGCAGAAAAAACAGCCCACACATTTTGAAAGATAAAACAAACATACCAGGAAACACCTGAAAGAACAAATGAAAACCCATCCTTGTAGGGTAGTTTCATAGTAAGTCTCTGAAGTCAAGATTTGGAGATAAGGTTATTCTGTGACCTAAGCTTCACAGTCAGGCAGATCTTCTTTCCCCACCTCAAAAGATTCTTTGCTGATTGACAATAGTTCACGCAGCTCTTTGTTCTCAAGCTGCAAAATCAATATTTTTGCTGAAATAGAAATGAGCTAATTCACAATTAAAGGACGATAATCTTTAAACAGCCCCACACCTTCACAGCTAAATAAAACACTGATTTTGTGACATAAGCATTAATACAGTGCTAACAAGAGGAGAACCGTATCATTTAAAGCTTATCTTTTGATTCTGGCTTCATATATACAATAGAAACATCAAGACCTTGAAAATAAACAGAGCGTGTTCTGCATTTCCTGACCCCACCCCCAAATTTTTGCTTGTTACAAATCTTTGACACATACATAGAAAGTCCAGAGTAAGTCTAGAGACTCCCAAAGCTTGATCTATCCTTAGCAATTGTATCTGTTCTTACCTCCAACTGAGCTAGTTTCTCCTGAACTTTAAAGAACTGATCATCATCGACTTGAATAGCTTTTCTCATCACCTCTCCCATCTCACATATTCTGTCTATTTGACTTTCAATTTCCTGAAAGACATAAAAGTAATATATTCAGTATGTTCAGGCAAAGGCAGCAGTAATAATTTATCCCTTCTAAATCAATTACTTTCATTTTCTTGACTTTGGATTATTTTCCTGTTTCAAATTGTAATCCTTTCCTCCCAAGCACTTGCAATCCTTTCTAACTTGTATGATATTTAAAGATGGAAACATTTACCTTATTGTCCATTATCATGAGTCATCGATGAAAACAGTGAATAGAATTACATTAGTCAGCAAGATAAGGCACCCTTACTTACAAAGATGAAAGTAATTTCAAGAGTGACAAGGACTGAGACAACAGATTCAGGTTCATGTGAATATGATTAGCATGCAGCAAGTTTTATATTGCTTTATTAGATAAGCTTGACCCTGAATTTATAAGAACGCCAGATATAAAAGCAAATGAGATTTCAAGACTAAGTAACAATGTGAAGTAAACAGCCTCGTCTCAGAAGGAAGCCAAGCAAGGAAACTAAAATAAGTAAGACCAGAGCCTCCTGAGGCAGTTTTTACAGATTCTGTCTAGATACAGCTCTAATCCTTTGGAAGATGCATTTTGTTGAAGCTCAGAAATGCACCTATAATGAAAACTGAAGAATTCCAACATGTAATGTAGCAACAGTTCCTGTTTGAAGAGCATTCCATTTCAAAATACAGCATCTAGAGAGGAATTCCAATGTGCAAACACAAAAATGTCAGTAATTGGCAAGAAGTAGCAAGATAAGAATTTGGAAGCTTCTGAAGTATTTTAAGGTAACATAAAAATACAAGGTTATCACAAAGCACTTTGGGGAATATCAGATAATGTTATAGGCTGGAGTTTCTCTTCTCCACAAGTGTCAGTATTTATTCCACTGCCCCGGAAGATAAAGGTATCACCAGAGCAGAGAATTCAGTTTTGAATTCCATTATTCAGAAAATATGTAAACAAATTAGAGCATCTAGAAGAGAGCTGGAGGAATAAGAAAGATAACTTAATCTGGGAAGAAAGAATGAAGCGTTTTTTCCTAAACAGAAGAATTGTTACAGTAAGAATACAGCTCTTTAAAAGATATTTAAAGGTTGTTACTATTCTCCAAGTGGTGGGTAGGAAAAAACTCATGGACTTGATCTGAAGCACAGAAAATTTCGTCTAGATAAACAGTCTAGGTACATTCAACCAAAGGTTCCTCCACAGCCTTTTCAGCTTTGCATTTCCATGCCATCAAAATGGAGCAAAAGCAGTGCCAGAGAATAATGTTAGAAGTTTTGTTCAAACGTTAAGTCTTGACAAACAGAGCAACTCATGCACCTAAGCAAGCACTGGAAGCAAGACATTGGTACACTACTTAACTTCAGAGGACCTAAGCAACACAAAACAGAAAACTAGTAAGTTGCCACATATTTCGTACAAAGATACACGTGCACAGGGTTAGGCTGGCTCCAATTCCAATTAAAAAAACACAAGATATGAGACGTCACTAGGTTGAACCAGCTTGCTGTTCTCTAATCATATAAAAATGCATTTTAACAAATGCCTAACTTAATTCATAAGCCTGAAATAGAGATTTAATTGTTTTTATATTGTTATTAAGACACCTAAACGTAAAACAGGCAGCATTATCAGTAGCCACACCTCAGAGTTCTGAAGTCACCGCACCCAACATGGACGAAGGGACACTTTTAGGCCACTGCACAGAGTATCCGGATTTAAAAACATTTGGGAGTGATGATTTCTTAAGAATTAAACATACTGCAGCTCACAGAGATTTAGGAGGTTCTTCTCCCTTTGTTACCATTACTGAACAGGAACAGTAACAACTCTTGATGCCTTTGAATTTTACTGTAGAGAATCATGTGCATTGATCTTAACCCAGGGAATTCACCATCTAATGCATAAAGAACAAGCCTTCACCTGGGCCATGAAAGGGTCATGCTTTTCAGCATCCTCTGTGATAACTGTTAGAACCTGCGTGCTGTAAAAGGAATAGAGAAAAAAATACCAGCAAACAGAGACAAGAGTTTCAGAAAATGTATTTTGGAGCAGAGATGTTCCATGAATGGAAACAAAGGTTGGACGGAAGCAAGCAAGAGACAGCGAACAGGGGTCTTGAGCCCTCTTCTGTGCCCATCCCACCTTACCAAAGAATTAGCCTGATGAACTTTCAAGAGCGAAGCATCTTCACCTTTTCTCCCCTGCAAAAGCTGTAACATCTGCTTTCTGTACTTGCTCATGATAAGCTCTAACGCATCTTGGTGCTCCTCCAGCGAGATCCATAGCTCTGTAAAATACAGCGTGTCATCGCCACACGCTCCAACCCATTTTTCCCAGCAACGACAGCAGATGCCCAGAAACGCTCAGCA